AGCTTTTTCGCATGACTGTATATTTCTTTTGATTATAAATAAAATTGTAAAACTATTTTAACACACTTTTAATTAATATTAAAAATGTCATTCATTTTTTTATTTGTTTACATTGTGTTCGAAATTATTCTCAAACAAAAATGTGTTGTTTTAAATTAGTAATTTATCAACACCTAACACGAATCATAGGAGTATAGTGTATCACTAAAGTCAAGGTTCTTAAGCTTATCGGGTTCAATAAAGAACATCCCAATTCCTACATCACCCCAACATATCTTAAATGTCTCATCTTTGGATTCTTTTGCTCGTTCTTCATCTTTACTATAACTAACACTATCGAGCTCAAGAAGTGGGACAGTTTTCTTCTTGTTTTCGCCCTCTCTTGGGTCGCACTGGAGGATACTTGGATTTCCACCATAATGCGATAACAATTTTGTCATTCTATCGTCGCAACTCATTTCAAAGCTCAAATTGTTTTTATCTACGGAATATTTCAGTGCCAACTTTTCGTAGACTTGATCAGATTCATCGGGATTGATATAAACAGTCTCCGAAATCGTTCCAATCAATTTAAATGCTGCACTAAAAGGAACTGTACTTTCTTCAAGTGCTTCTTTTCTAATTTTGTCCACTTTTGCGGGAAGTTTTTGTTGCAATTTTTCGTCGACGTCTTTGTGGTAAATCAATTTGTAACTTTCCATCCCATAGTCGTCCGCTGGGTTTATAAAAAATTGAAGAATTCCGGATTGTGGGAAATTGTCTAAATGTGGCATTTCACTGTAATTGATCTGTGCTAATAACACCATCAATTCTCCTTCGTCATTTTGAGGGTATTTCATATTTTTGGGAAAGTATGGAATTCCACCCACACAACTGTTTATTGGTGATAACTTGTTGTCTAAAACAAGTGACAAAGCAACACAACTCTTTTTATACTTCTCAATAATATCTGCAAACACTTTGTTTATTACTTCCTCTTTAATGGTGTGCATGTCTGGTGGCATAACTTCGGCACCATTCACTTCTAAATGTTCAGAACTGGATTCGTTATCGCTCATTTTTTGTTTTTTTATAGTTCAAATTCGTGTTTTATTTTAAATTAAAAAATATGCTATTATTTCGTTGTTTCCTCAATAGTTTCGAAATATTTAATATTTAAATTGTTTCATTGTTTGGTTAAAAATCAATTTATTTTTTTTGATAAACAATTTTGGTGTTTTAAATTATTGGGCTTTAAATGTTATTGGATACTCAAGTTTCTTGCAACAAAAAACTGTTTTAACTTTTAGAATCATGATTTGGATTTAAGAAAATAGTCAAAATACAAGTGAAGTATTTTGCAAAGTCGATCGAATGAAAAATTAATAAAAAAGACCTAAACACGACTAATACTGGATATATGGAGTATGTCAATATGGATAGATCACATGAAGTACACAAGTTGTGCATGAACTTGTCTTTTGAAATAAAATTTATTCTTTTGATTATCTATTCTTTATTTGAAAAAAATTTGAGTGCTCAAAGTGCACAAATTGCGTCTTTGTGAAATGTTTGAGTTATTGCTTCTACAGCAGAGACATATGTCTTGAGGTGGAATCGGAATTGTCAAAAACACCAACTCTTGTGATGGTTGTCTGTCTGTTTTACATTGTGTTATTTTGATTCTGTGTTAAACGAAAGAACAAGACAATTTATTTAGTAGCTACATTGATAGCCGTGTTGATCGACTCGTCAAGAAGATCCTGTGGGAACTCCTTGATGAATTTCTTTTCGATGAGAAGGTCGGCACCTTCGCGTGCCTCCTTGATGTCCTTCTCTGCCATATCGTAGACCTGTTGCCACGTCAAATTTGTGATTCTCGCGACTCCGTCTTTGATAGCTTGCATAGCGACGTCTGCTGCCTCTCGTGGGAAGATGCCTGGCTCGTCCATAGTCCCAATGATGTTGTCTGGTGTGATTCCCCTCTTCTCTGCAAAGTCAGCAAGTGCCTTTGAAGCTGCGATAGCCATGTTGTCTGTGATTTTCTTTGCTCTTACAATGAGTGCGCCCTTTCAGATGCCTGGAAAACCACAGAGTTGTTGACTTGATTTTGGAGTCGCCCTCTCCTGTAGCACGATGTACGCGCCCGCCTCTTTGCTCATATGGGTAGATCTCTGGCACTGGATTTGCGCAGCAG